TTAGCGATTCCTATCTGCGCCAAATGAATTTCACGTGTTAGCCCTACGGAGGGTATGCCACCACTAATGACTAGAGCAATACCATAAAACCTTGAAGTTTATTAACAACTCCTTCACCTGTCGAGCTACAATAGCGTTTGGATAGATCAAGAACAGCTTTTGCTGCAAAAAAAAAAAACATTACCTCTAACAGTGTCGCTCACGTTATAACGCGCTTACAAACACTATAATATCGAATGACAAAATGTGGAGCTACATCTGCAAAAAGTATGCTTCCTGTTGGTGATTTGCGATCGGTCCGTCTAATCTCAGTGTCTTGTTTTGGAACTACAATCAATCGACGGACGGAGGTATTCGATACTGAAAAGATGGAAGGCACATCATCATCCCGCGACGACGGCGACAGATATGCTGCCTCGAGTGAAAAAAAAGTCGCAATTCTGTTTTACGTTTTGGTCTAGACACAGTTGCTAGAATAACACAACAAATCTTCGTACTCTCAGACAGGGGCACGGGAATCAACTTATCGTGGCCTGACTCAGTTCAGTATATAATCTAATTCAAAAAGTAAGTTTCATGACGAAGAAATGACGTTACCTTTCAAATCATCATACACGTTGCGTATGCTCTGGATGATATACCAGTGAGGGGCGGATAGTGGATGCGGGTTCAAAATCGTGTCAATGACATTTCAACTCAAAATTCGTGATGTGCTTACACGTTAAAGAAGCGGTAAATATTCTTGATATTCCGTATCCTGGAACCCAACAGATAGTTCAGAAATCGAACCCAGAAAAAAAACAGCTCGGAAAAGAACGTGTCGAAAAATAAACCGTCACCTAATCAGCAAGGTGGTGGAGTTAACACCAAATACACTGCAAATTCAGATGCTGTTGTATTCCCCCCCCCCACGCACACACACCTTCGGAATTCAGTATCCTAAATCAGGTTCGGTTTTCAAAGTAAATCGACTGTTGGATAATTCCAAGTACAACGTGATTTACAAGCTAACGCAACAATGAAACGAATACAGAAGGCCCTGTACGACTACCAACTATCATGCCCATAGATTCAATAATATACGATGTCAAGAACTACGATGTTTGGTGAAGTCTGTGGCGTGATGCCAAGGACGAGATGGTCCGTGAATACGTTGAACGGTCTGGCCTTCGGCTCCTCTCCAACCGAGAAACGATTGTCTATCAGTATGTGGCGATAGGTGGCAACCTGTGGTAGGATGTTTTGAGGTATCGAGACCGTGTCCGTTCAACGTATATCTGACGATTACGAGAAATGATTTCTCCTGATAAGTCTTCCTTATCCAATGGAAGCAAAATACAGGCGAATCGTAGGTTTAGGCGTCCAGACCTCATTCGACTGATGAAATATCCTTGTATTTCTCTATTCGTCGACGCCACCTTCAGTGCGACTTCAAAGCCATTTCCTCAGACCATAATTGTGCTGACTCACGATAGAGCTCACGACCTCTACGTACCGTGTTTCTATAGCCTGGTTGATACCAAGAGTCCCTTGATGTACTGGGACGTATCCATTTGGAGAAACAATCATACAGGCATGGCCTGCGTACCGAGAGTGGTGGTGTGTGAATTTGAGCAGGCGCTCCACCTTCGAATTCGCGATCAGTTCGACAGTGTGCACATTATCGGCTGTCTGTTTCGTTAGAAGCAGGCTCTACGGCGCAAAAAATGTTTTCAATGGGGATCTCTCAAACGGAGGTCACGGCCGCCATGGAACCTGAAGTACTTGGTTTTCTATTTTAGTAGTCAAAAGGTCCAAGGAAAAGGACAATTCCGTTCGTAACTAAAAAGATCTACGGTCTCATCAACAAGGAGATCACAAAGCAAATGGCAAGCCTTCTGGGACTACTGTGTGAAGACGTGGTGTGACACATATGATATTTCTTGTTAGAATATCTCCGGAACGATCAAGAAGAACGTCGATATAGTTAACAGGACTAACAACCCGCAGAAGGCGTATAGTTGGAGGGTCGCCGACTTGTTTGGAGCTCCACATCCAATCATGCTGAACTTTGTTGATGTGCTACAACAAGAAGCCAAAACGTGCATCGATCAATTTGCCGACGTTCGACACCGTCGGCAGCGACCGCCACCATATGCAGCACCATTTACATTTCCTCGCATTCCTCGTTTGCGCTAAAGAACACGTTACTATGGG